CTTGGCCAACAGCACCTTGTGTGAAAGTTTCGCGTTCAATGTCGCAACTAGCCCAAAAAAAATTTTTTGCTCGTCGTCGTCGAAGAGGTCGACCTCCTGATCCAGTTTGGCTGGTAGCGACATTGCGAAATCTGGGATTGGCAAGCTTGATCGTGAAACTTTCACACAAGGTGCTGTTGGCCAAGCCGAGCCCATTGCTCTAATAAAAACCCCACGTTTCATTGTAAAGTTTGGAGATACAGGCACCTTTATGTTTGTAAGCGTGATGCTATATGAGAAGTGGTCTTTGTTTAATGTAAAGTAGCTAGACCCTGGAGAGCCAAAGATGCAGAAGGACCTCTTTGTGTAACTCAGCTCATTATGCATGATTGGAAGGGCCAACGTATACTTTTCAGTAATAGCTCATCATTGCCCGCTAGCAGTCATTTCTTCACAATCAGCGTTGTTGCAAAATCCACTTCATGTGAACGATTCTCCTACTCCAGCCGAGCATTTCCATCATTCAAGCTTCTTGATCCGAGCCAATTTGACTGAGCTACGCTGTAACAGCGAATATGTAAATTCTTGAAAGACAGACCCTGCGAATGTCTCCGACTTTCAAACTTTTGGAGGCTCGCATTCCAAATTTTCGAATGAAGCGTGGAGTGTTTATTAGCAAAAGTTGATCGGCATGCTCAAGAGTACCCTTCTGACCAATTTTCAAGTTGGAAGTGGGCAACTTCGGGGCGGTGGGCCGTCCGCTCTTTTGTTCGTGTCATCCACCATTTGGACCGCCCCACAATGAAGTCTGCAGATTTGAATTGAATGAAGTTGATCAGCATGTTCCAGCGAACCTTCTGACAAAGTTTCATGTTCGAAATGGGGAATCCCAAGGTAATACATACTACTTCCATAAATCATGAATCGGCGCTGTCCTCCATTTCTGATTTACATAGTAAACCCACACTGCACCCTCCCACTCAATTTTTTATAATGAAGTATAGGTTCTTTTTAATACAAAGTTGATCAGGATGTCCAAGAGTATCTTGTGTGAAAGTTTCAGGTTCGAAGTAGGCAATCTCACTATCAAGGTTTGATGTACAGTGTACGTGCATTTATACAAGAGGTGTCCGACAGCTTAGCCTACTTTAATTTCCACTTCTTTCACACCCACCTTATTCTCTCTTCCTCCCATTCTCATCAAGTACATACAATTACCACCTGCGAACGATTGTCCAGCTTCAACCCATCATGTCAATCCAACAGCTGTCTTGATCCGATTGTCTTGGACTGAATGGCAAGTCCACGGCGTGTACACACCTTTCTTGTCGCTCTTCTACGATACACGAGCCTCTTGACACTGCACCTTCTCTTGTACACACTGCTCTGCCGCGTCCAAACGTAACAGCAGTTGCCATTAGCAAGATCTCTACTCCATTGTCTCAAGTCACTTGCAGCCTTTTTTACGTGGACAGCAGATAGCCATTATAGAGAAGCAGCTTTATTTACGTATAGCAACTTGCTTCAATACAAATGAATTCCTACGATGGATATGGATATGGATATTGGTGCATGGGATGGGATGAATTGGATATATCAACCTGGGTTGCTTTCCTTGACCCATTTAGAAGGTGATATTTAGTTTGGATGATGGCGCTCAAGTCTTACACGCAACATTTTCACCTGGTTGAGCAGCGATGGGAAGTGACAAAAAGTGATGGATCAATAGCTGGATGAACAGGAAGCAATTACATGGCTCTTTTCAACCAACATGGTTATGTATGATGGATGGATGCAATCGAATGCAGCGATGATTGGAATGTTGCTTTGGTTACTTTGAGCGTCGTCAGCAGGAGAGATGTATTGCATCACATGGATAGGGCTGAGGATGATGATGGGTTTCTAAAGCAGCCAAGGCTATCACATTGATGATACAATGGCACCCGTTACCTCTGTGATTCACGCATACTTTTTACATTTGGCAATGTCTTACCTCCTACAGCATTCATGCGCGCTTTCTCTCTCCGAACGAGGTATCCGATCCATTACTACTCAACAACTGCATGATATCTATTTAGCCCTTACTTTTATGCATGAGTCCTTCTTACCTTGGACTTGGATCCATATGCCATTTCTCCTTTCACCTTCCAACTTTTCTTCAATCGAGATGTACACACCACCCGCACGTACACACATCTGAAACATCACACACTCACACGTGTAGCCACCATACATGTTTAAGCCGCATTCGCAATTGTCACCCAATCAATCATGTCAGAGATGAGTCCCTAAGCCTTTATCCAAACAAACAATATACACCATGGGAAACATCGTCTTGGGGCAAAATCTTTAGAATACACAACCATGATACCTTGAAAGTTTTATTGTGATGACCTTTGTGGTTTAGTTGATTTTGAGAAGCTCGACGTCAATGAGAAGAGTTGCGTTGGGAGGAATGAGACCAGGGATACCACCGGGCCCATAGGCGTAATCGGGAGTACAAGTAAGTTTGGCACGTTGACCAATAGACAATTTCGGGACAGCTAACGAGGACAGAGTGTGCGTGAGAGAGAGAGAGAGAGAGAGAGAGAGAGAGAGAGAGAGAGAGAGAGAGAGAGAGAGAGAGAGAGCTTTTTATTATCACCGCATGGTACTTTTACCTTCATCCCAACCACGGATGACCTGGCCAACACCGATGGTGCATTGAAAAGGCTCGTTACGATCACGAGAAGACGTAAACTTTTCACCGTTAGCTAAAGTACCGATGTAATACATGGTGATCCTATCGCGAGGCTTGGGGAAGTGTACACCATCGCCTTCATGAATAGTTTCAATACTTGTATAGGAGTATTAATAAACGAACATCCACACCCTTGAACAAGTCTCTATAACGTGACACCCATAGTTGTTTTTATTTGGGAAAAGAAGATAAAGGTAGAAAGTTCAGAGCAAAGCGTGTCAAGAAGGTGCAGCATTTGCCATTCAATATCCGCTTCGAAGGTTGCATCTGTGTGAAACCCAACTTTCGCCTTTTAATGCATTATAGTTAGGCTACATATAGAAGTAATAAGATGGTTGATTCAGGAAGGCTTGCAACAAAGAACGCACGTAACAAAGAGGATGCAAGTCATTGTGTGTTGTATTGGTAACTGAAAGAAGTTATGGACCAAAATGATACCATTATTGTTTCGCATGATGAATATCCAGCTCGTACCTGACAAATGGAGTGCTCATAGCTAATGTTTATTGGTACCTGAAATGGGGATCATTATATTGTGGGCATACTATGGTACCATTTATGAGGTATCAATCGGTATGTAATATGGATATCGAAAGTATAGAATGGGATGCATGATCGAGCTGAATACAACACTGTCAATTCTTCTTCTCTTCGCATTCTCAATGGCAATACCACTCATGTCTTACGTATCCATCTCTGGTACAATCCTTCCATCCAGCGTTTTAGATATATACATACAAAGCAGTTTTATGTATGAAGAAATAAAACTATATATACGAGGAACACGCCACGCCGGTCGACAAAGAATGCATGGGTGATACCATCGCCTTGATTCCCAAAGTAGCCAATGTATCCATTGAATCAAACGTTCAGACAATGAACCTTGCTCATGTTGTAAATTTTCCTGTCACCGGAATAAACCCTTTGAGTACCTGCTTGAATTGAAACGATAAGGATGGAGTTTGGACTTACGATAAAAGAGCAACCCAAAAGCTTTAAGCCAATACTCGCGCTCGTTTCATTTATGTCGACGCCACTGCTGATCTTTCCCATACACATGACCATCCTCCTTCGTCCATGATTCTCGTGGATACCGACGTCAACGTGTTGCCTGTAGCAGAAGTACATGGCGCTTGCCAAAGGCGCGATTTGTCGGTGAATGCCTTTTTCAGATTGAATGCATAAATGACGTATACTCGACAAGGTTGAGCAGGAAGCCGTTTATCACCACCATCCGGGCTGTAGTAGAATCTGCCGCCTAATCCAACTTTGCATATGCATCTTGGGAGGTAGCTACGTCAAAAAGGGCTATCAGCGTGTGCATCATCCAGCAAGATGGCTAAATTTACCTTATTAAACGAGCCCAATAATCACAATGACAACAATGAAAGGCTAATGATCATCACGAGCATCAGTACATGGATCGCTCACAACAAAAGACCATCCACCATGGTACTCACCAGGGGCTTTGAAGGTGTGAACATCCAACAAGTGATGGTGTGTGTGGGCGACAGCATCCTTTTGATATCTGCATGGTAACGGACGTGCGTATCTCTGCGACCATAAAGAATGACAAACATTTGTTGGGAATGGTGACGAGCTGATAGGTTGATGCGGGCGCCTTCAAAAAGAGCTTTGGTGTGATTGAATGTTCACGCATAATAGATCAGGATCTGTGATAAACAAGGTACACCTCCATCTGCTGCCACGAACCACTGGTGTGCTTAGATTCCACGAAATAGGACGTTGTTCGATGCGGGTGTACGATTCAGAAAGGGCCGATAAACATAATAACGCACATGCTCCCGGTCACCATTGCCTTTGAGTGATGAAACGTTCCATCCACTTGTTCGCAGAGTACATACTGAGAGCCATTTTTCACATCTATGATTTCAATCGATAAGCGGTCAGCTCATCATGAGTAGATTGTATGCACTCACCATGCAAAAGATGTCAAATTGGTGACTCTTCTCTAGCAAATGATGACGATGGTAATAATTGATGACATAGCTGATACGAATACGCTGCCGCAATTGGATATACTGTTTTCCTTCCTTGGATCATCGGCGTCGTTGGGCAAGGTTCACTGACAAAATTCCAGCCTACAACATTGACAACAAGGGATTATCAGCAGCAGCTCCAGGACTTGGCTTTGAAAGACATACTTACGGTATCCTTTTCCAAATACGTGTCTTTCATCACCCAGGTATGTAAGAGGCTGGGTCTCCCATGGGGTGTTGACTTGTTGCAACGTATTGTCTTGGTCTTGGAGAAGGTTGCTGCTTGAGAATGATATTGTTGACAAGTCCCTCGTAGTAAGCAGGTTGTCTTCGTATTGATCGACACCAAAGGAATCTGTGCTGTGTGCAAGGTACTCTTGATGGGTGTAGGTTGGCATTGGAGTCGGCATGAGTGGAAGCGTCAACGTCTATAGATAGTCAAACAGCCAAAGAAGTCAATAAAACTTCACTCCCTTTTGTTTCCAAGGACATCCGTTCCCCTGTTACCATTCATATAAGAGAGTGCAATGAGAGCAATAGACATGGCATCCTGGCACAGTGATGGTTGACATGGCGTAGTGGTGGAGCACAGTGTAAACACGAGACAAGGAGGGTTACAAAGCCCGCATTCATGCAGCGAAGAAAATCTGAAACCCAAAACTCGGTGACAGCGCCTTCAGCGTAATGTAAAAATTGGGAGAGCTACGCCATTAGCCAAGATGTGTACTATACTATGGGGGATACAATAGGCCTGGTAAGGATCATGATGCTACAGATTCTTTAGCCGACAACTATCAGCTCCATAAAATTCAATACCAAATACAATCCAAACCGAGCTGCAAACGGTAGCCATGTGACATCAAAGAGAAGATGTCGGCGTTGAATGATTTGCACTCTCCTCGTTCTCTTGTCAACTTTCCTTCTTCATGGATTCCTCCCCCCCCCCACCTCCTCTTGCCGCGTGATGCATGTATGGTAAAAGATACACTATACAGCAAATCCATCCCATCGAATATGTATAGTAAGGGGGACGCTAGTAGAGGTGGATAGAAAAAGGAGAACGACGAAAGCCGCCCCAAGTACATCTCTCGCGTACACATTCTTCTGACCGGCCTTGGGACATCACCCATTGTGATGCATGAATCCATAGTAAGTGAATATCAATGATGAATCGCACTTTACAAAAACCGGTTTGTGAGTGAAATGAAAACCTATAATAGTAAAGCTATTGAGAGAAGAAGGGAAAAAAGGAGTATGGATGCATGTTGGCGACTTGGGATTTTACTGTATGTATGTGGAAAACAAAACACCGATCTCTTTGATTTACGAGAGGACGTGTATGTGTGTATGTGTGTATGTATGTATGTACTTGCTCCAGAATGCAAAGGAGGTTTCTACTTTTTCGGTGCACGCTCGCATTACGCCCAACGATGGTATGGGGTTTCTCAAGCACAATAGCCAAAGAGGACATGTAGTGCCCCAACCAGGGTCATCATGATGCTTTTGCCTGCATATAAAAGGAGATGCTCACTCAAAGAAAATCAACACGCTATCTCCTACTGTTACACACATCACTGCATTGAACACGTTTCTCTCTCTCTCTCAAGTGGTTCGTCAAGAAAGCGAATAGAAGACCATGATCTTTTTCAAGGCATCCTCGTTCCTCGTCATTGTCGCTGTATTCAACGTACTCGTCGTCGCCGACAATCCCAAACTTCAAGAATGTAAAAATGGGTGCACGCAATATGGCCAAGGTTCCCAGCAATTCAAAGACTGTATAGCTGATTGTGTAAAGAAACATGCATGATGATCGTATCCTTTTTTTTACACATGGTCCCAACTTTGAGCTTTGATTTGGAATAAATGATAATAAACTTTCCTTTACACAGCATGATGCTTATCACGCACAGGCGATATGGATAATAAAGTTAACCTTTATTGACGTGTATCAAAGGTAGCAAGGTAGGTACAACGTTTGGGTAGCAACAATGCAAGGTTGTATGCAATTTCATCCCACTCTCCACCTGCATCCACCATTGATAGGGCAGGTAAATTTTTCTTTGTTATTCAAGCATAGGATGACTCACAATGAACATCTACATAATAAAGTGTCTAATGATCCTGGACAACTGAATAGCAATGTCATCCTAGTGCAGGGATAATCGACTATTGCTGGTTCCTCCTTAGTATCACCTCGACCTGTGCCTTGTGGTGAGCTTGGTAGAGTAGCCATTACTCAAGCACGTGATGCTTCATCCACCTTCCTCTGGACCATACGTGTATGCTGTCTGTTTCCCAGGCCGATACTTTACCGAACAAGAACGCTCATGGACCCCATACTAACACTAGCGATGTATGTGAAGAGACATACGAAGGGATACCTTGTCGTCGTTTCGTTCAAGTCGTCGATGCCAATGAGTCGCCATTAGTTTTTCAACTTGGCATGTCGGTGCATGTTGGCAAGAATAAAGTCAAGCTGAGGTCGTCATGGTGAGTATGTGTGACCAAGGACGAAGAAGGGTGTTGCATAGCAAAATGAATTCCAGGCTTACATACATTTCTGAGATTGACATTTGATCATACATCCACTCCTTCACACCAAAAACTTGCTTCCCAAGACTCCTTTGCCAACACCCAACAATAAACATCTTTGTAATCAAAATGTCCAATTTCATTAATATCTACGCACAATGTTCATTTGGCTGGAACGAGACTTGCTGGTGGCTGAAGCTCTAATCCTTCTGGAACCTTATCGACGCATTCGTATTCTTGGAGAGCCATCAAATGGCCTTTAGCAAAACGTCTTATGCTTCGGATGCGTCGTTCTATTGCTTACCTTCATTGGTTCCTCTATAGTAACCTACATAGGAACATTGATGTTCAAGGCATTCATTCACATTCTTTTTAAACTTGCTGCACTCAACTCCTGCAGGCGTGACACAGGAACGAGTCGCAACTACACGTACGATTTCTTTAGCTCTCTTGGATGTTGTTGGATGGCTTCTTACAACTTACCGGTGTCCTCATCGTCAGTAATCTTTACTCTGAACTCAAAGGTGCAAGGTTTGTTTTCGCATTTTTTTCACGGTGGATGTTGGCATCTTGCCTTTACATGTATTTTCGGTAGCAAGTGTGCCTGGTTGAAGAGCATACACAGGGCCAACGATCATCAAGGCTACACCAAAAATACGAGTCAGCTTCATGGTAATTGTCGTAAGATGTAGTAGGTGGAAGGAGAACTGGAAATCCTTGTGTTTAAATAGCCAATGTGGATAAGCTTTAAGTCTAAAGATGCATCAACAGGAGACCGATATGCATCGCCCAGCTGTACATCATTGATGCTGATGGCTGCTAAAAATCAGACGTGCGTAAAAACAACAAGCAGCCCTTGTTTTGTCCACTCAGCTCCATCCATCCTTCAATAAATACATACATACGGGTGATTCGAGTCATATGCTCTTCTTCAATTCGTGTTCTAGTGTATAGCCAGGCTAAGGGATGCATGGCGAATATCGATTGTTTGCCCACTGCATCATTTTTGCGTCCAAGATGCACCTTGGCTATGTAATCTAGACCGCCAAATATGTACTGTATCAGCAATTGTGATCATGCTCAGGGGTTGTATAATGATGGGGAACGTTGGCATCCATTCACAGCGATGGAAATATAGAGATGAGATGCAAATGAGATCATAACATGGCGGTGGTGTTCGCACGTGGCAATCAAGGAATCGGCCTATGCTGTGACACTTTTTTTGAATGAAAGCACGTAACTTGTCATACATCATTATCAGGCACACACCCATGATAACCGTTTATGCATTCACACGTTATCTAAGACAATGCTTAAACTATCCCTACATCATGAATGGACCACACGGGATTGCGTAACCAAGATGATCCATGGAAAGAGAATGAGGTTCAAAGTATAGCCAGTGACACATAAAAAAAGAAACACATCTTGTTAATGCACAACAATAGCAATGTTCTTCTCACGACTTGGTTCCACAATGGATACACAAGAATAAAGCCTCCTTTCCCATGCGTTGTGTATATCCATCTCCTTGATCCCCATGTATCAACCCAAAGCAATATCCACATCCATATCCATAGAAATCCGTTTGTATTGGAACAAGTTTGCTACACGTAAATAAAGCTGCTTCTACATAACGACTATCTGCTGTTCACGTAAAAAGATCGCTGTAAGTAACTTGAGACAATGAAGTAAAGGCCTTGCTAATAGCAGCTGCTGTGGCAGAGGAGTGTGCAAGAGCGTGTGTTGTAGTAGAGCGACCAGGTCGTGAATGCTGTATGAGACAATAAAGACATCGCTAATAGCAACTGTTGGAATGAACGCTGTTACGTTTGGTGGTGGTAGAAGGATCAAGAGGCTCGTGTGGTGTATCAAGAAAGGCAGGTTTTGTAGAAGAGCAACAAAAAGGCTGTGTACACGCCATGGACTTGCCATTCAGTCAAAGATTCTTGGATCAAGGCAGTTGTAGGATTGACATGATGCGTTGAATCAGGGGCAATCGTTCATAGGTGGTAGTTGTATACTTGAGTGGGCCAACAGTTAAGAATGGGAGGAAGAGATAAAAAGATGGGATGCTGCATACAATTACATTCTTCTGATTTGCCTATGGGAGCAAGGCGCTTGTGAGTTCTTTTCCTGCTCGCTCCAAGTCATAACCATTGAGTGCTGAATACATCGTGTGCACTGTCGTGTCTTCTGAAGAAACCTTTATTAGAAAAGCTGTGGTAGGTGTAATTGCAAAGTTGTTGAGCGAATGAAGTTGAAAAAGACGAGGTGAAAGAGCAACATGTTTCATGCTGGGGACCTACTTGCACTGCTCGTGTGCTACGCAACTCCGCATTTTATGCACGTGATCCACATACCAGACTCTCTTCAATCATGCAAGAGTTCTTTGAAATATCCAAGGGGCAAGCGGGTGTTTATTCATTCTCTACCACGATAGCGGATTCCACAAACTTTAATTTGTCGTACACATCAGACATAGCTACTGCTTCCCGCAAATCTACCAGGTATGCGCGATCATCGAACCCAATGACTTTGCAGTGTACGCCGTTGACCTCGATTTGGTTATCCTCCATAGCCTCTATATACTTCTCAAGCTCAGACATGAGTCTTTGCCAAACTGCATTTGGATCGCTCATCCTTGGAATTTTTAACTGGAGCATGCCAAGCACGCCGTAGACATAATCAACGGGATCCATGCAGCGCCTACTGGAGTAAGACAGTGAGGAGAGCAAGGATCCAAGTCTTGCTGGGCTCTTCTTTCTGAAACGATGTTTGCTGAAAGTTCTAGCATTGTATATCTCAATCATAAATTTGATCTTTTCCGCTACATTTAATCCATCAGCTGCGTTTATCTATTACATCCAAGGGTAGTGTATGACCTACCTATATGTTGCCTGTCTTCATTGTCGCTTGTTGCATTAAGATAGTAATAGACATCAAATAGGTTTTTAAAGCTGTTAATTAGATCATCCATTGTAGTCGTGTTGGTTTGAAAGTGATGATCATCAGTTTCAGCCATAAGTCGCACAACTCCATAAGGTAGAGCCATCTCTTGCCAAGTCCAAACGCGCTTCCACCATGCACTTTGCTGCAAATGATACACCTGTGCAACCAGCTGAGGATATTTGGCGTACAAATGTTTGCCACGCACGAGGAATTCTGGACTTGGCCTTTTATACATATCATAGTCATAGAGCTTCTCCCTCGTATTCTTCTCAGTATGAAATTTTGATAGCAGACTTGGCTCACAATCAATCATGGCAACACATTCAAGACAACAGGAGTAAATATCACCCATAATGTCCAAGGGTGTATCCGTACGTGCACATAAAACGTCAATCCACCAATAACTATCGGGATGTGCCTTGAGTAGTGCAAGTAATGTGGCGCGTTTTTCAGGTCGCATCGAAACAGGAGCTGCAGGTTGTCCATCCGTATCATCCACGTAGTCGCCAATTTCCTCCCAAAAGTGTCGATTTTCTTTTGAGATACCCCAAAGATGCGACAACGCATAGTAAAAAGATGGAATGGATTCAGCCCCGTTGACCCTCTTGATCATCCGTTGTCGATGGTATGGATCAGTAGCAGGTCGTATGATTCGCATTTTGGCTCCATCTTTAGGCACATATAGAAGCAAAAAGTGCTTGTCGGCTAAGAGCGCACCTAGCCCTTCTTCGAAAAATCGTTTCCAAGGTCCACCATCATTAATCTCTAAACAACGTATATCGAGCTGAAGAAGGAATGTATGAGTGCAATAATTTGGAATCAGCAGGGCCAATGTTCTAATACTTTGATGGAGCTATCGTCTTCATCAGTGTCACATGTCATGTTAAGGAAAGGGGAAGAAAGAGTGTGGATGATAAAAAGAAGGCGTGGGTTCCTCTTTATGAACTCTCTTTTGTATTTGCAAGCTGAGTAAGAGAGCATTGCCATATATGAGCAAACTCTATCTCATCTCCATATATCGCCAAAGGTGCATTTTATAGCCTGGTGCAACTATCCGACTGATTGATGAGGAAGATCCTTTCACTTCAAGAAAAGAAGAGTTCTGGGTGCTTTGGAAAATTATAAATGTGCACCCATGTCAACCTTAGGGATCTGATTCCGGGTCCCGAGTCTAATCGTTCATATAACAGTATCAAGCATAATGACAACAAAGTTGGCAATGGATACACAAGAACAAAGCCCTCCTTTCCCATGCGTTGTATATGCTCAATTCCTTCCATCCCATGTACCAAACCAAAGCTTCAGATCCATATAATAGACATCCTTTGTATTGAAACAACTCGCTACACGCAAATAAAGCTGATTCTACATAATGGTTATCTGCTATTCGCGAAGAAAAGGTTGCTGCAAGTAACTTTAGACAATGGAGTAAAGGCCTTCCTAATAGCAACAACTGTTCCCTTTGGTTGTGGCAGAGGGGTATGTAAGAGCGTGTGTTGTAGAGTGACAAGGTCGTGAAAGCTGTTTGAAGCAATGGAGAAAAGACCTCGCTGATAGCAACTGCTGAAATGAATGCTGTTGTGTTTGATCGTGGCCGATAGGAGTGCAAGAGCATGTTGTATCAAGGAAGGAGTCCGTTGTAGAAGAGAAGGGTGCGTACACGCCATAGGCTTGCCATTCAGTCAAAGACAATCGGATCAAGACATTCGTAGGATTGACATGATGGGTTGAAGCAGGACAATCGTTCGCAGGTGGTAGGTGTACTTGAATGGGCCAACAGTTGAGAAAGGGAGGAAGAGACAAGAAGTTGTGGGAGTGGAAGAACAACGAAAAGAGCGGTGATGCACCATCCAAGTTGCGTATACGTATCCATACCTACCTACCGTGTATGGCGATCATAAACATGCATCTTTCTGATTTTTCTTACGGGTACATACAAGCAATAAAAAGACAATCTCATATACCAATCCTCAGGAACCAGCTTCTAAAAGTCAATGACATTGAAAGGAACTCGACCAAAGACAAAATCGTAAGTGCTCTTTTCCTGCTGCCTCCAATAGTCACCGCTATTGATAGCTAAATACGTCGTGTGCAGTGTCATGTCTACTTAAGAAGACCTTCATTAGAAAGCTTGCAGGAGTAGCTGCCCAAGTTGAGCGAATAAAGGATGAGGTGAATAAGAGCACCAAGTCTCGTGCTGGGGGGCCTGCCTTCTTTTCTACTATGTGTGTTGCGCGACTCCCCATTCTATCACATTATCCACATACCAGCCTCTCTTCGATCACGCGATAACAAGCACGATTTTTTCAAAAGGCTAAGGATCAAGTGGATGTTTATTCGCTATCACTATAATCAGCTTTCATAGTACATACATAAGTGTACACATCAGACATATCTTTAGCTTCCCTTAAATCTTTCAAGTATGCGCGATCATCGAACGCAGTGAGTTTGTATTTGTGGCCCTCTAACTCGAATTTGTCATTCATCATAGGCTCGGTATACTTCTCAAGCTCAGACAAGAATCTTTGCCAAACTGCATTTGGATCACTCATCCTTGGAATTTTAAACTGGAACATGCCAAGTACCCCATAGACATAATCAACAGGATCCATGCAACGCCTTCGGGACCCGGCCAGTGAGGTCATTAGGAACACATATCTTGGTGGGGTCTTTTCCTCAATACGATGCTTGTTGAAAGTTCTAGCTTGGTATATCTCGGACATGAATTGGGTGCTCTTGTACCGAACCTCGTCAGCTATTTAATTCATCAGCTGTGCTTATCTATTATTACATCCAAGGCACCGCGTATGATCTACATACTTTTATCTTTGCAGCCTTCGGTGTCACTTGCGTTAAGATACGAAAAGATATCGAGTGCGTTTTTAAAGCAGTTAATTAAATCACTTATCGTAATCGTGTTGGTTTGAAAGTGATTGTCGTCAGTTTCTGCTATGAGACGCACATTTCCATAAGGTAAGGCCATCTCTTGCCAAGTCCACACGCGCTTCCACCACACACTTCGCTGCAACTGATACAACTGTGCAATCAGCTGAGGATAATTCGCATACAAACGTTTGCCGCGCTCGAAGAGCTCTAGACTTGGCCTTCCATAAAAATTAAATTCAAAGAGCTCCTCCCTCGTATTCTTCTCGATATGAAGTTTTGGTAGCAGACTAGGCTCACAATCGATCATGGCAATGCACTCAAGACAACAAGCATAGATATCCCCCATAATGTCCAAGGGTGTATCGGTACGTGCACATAAGACATCGATCCACCAATAACTATCAGGATGTGCCTTGAGTAGTGCAAGTAATGTGGCGCGTTTTTCAGGTCGCATCGAAACAGGAGCTGTAGGTTGATCGTGCTCATCATCCACGTAGTCGCCAATTTCCTCCCATAAATGTAGGTTCTCTTTTGAGATGCCCCAAAGATGCGATAACGCATAGTAGAAGGATGGAATGGATTTGCCTCGTTGGCCCTCTTGATCATACGTTCTCGATGGTATGGATCACTTTCAGGTCGTATGATTCGCATTTTGGCTCCATCTTTAGGCACGTATAGAAGCACAAAGTGCTTGTCAATTAAGAGCGCGCTTAGCCCCTTTTCGAAAAAGCATTTACGGCGACCACTGTCATCATCCTCTAGACAACGTATATCGAGCTAAAGAGGGAACGTATGAGTATAGTAATCTAGAATCAATAGGTCATGTTTGAATACTTTGGTGAATCTGTCATCTTCATCAGTGTCGTATGTCATGTCGAAAAAAGGGGAAGAGAGAGTGTGTGGATGTTGAAAAGAAGGCGTGAGATCCTCTTTATGAACTCTGTTTTGTATTTACATGCAAGACGTCGGCGTAACCCACTGAGTAAGAATAAAAAAAAGCATCTCATCTTCGTATATCGCCAATAGTACATTTTGTATCCTGGCAACTATCCGACTGATTAATGAAGAAGAGTCTTTCATTTCAAGAAAAGGAGATCCCTGGGTGCTTTGGAAAATGATGAATGTGCTCCCATGGCAACCCTCGGAATCTGATTCCGGGACCCGAGTTTATTATGTGGCGTATAACATTGAGGTGATACAAGGAACCACATCTACGTAACTCAGGGATTTAAAATGATCGCTCAAGAGCAGGGTGATATTGTCGCTCTTGTTTTCGTTCTTATGCCGCTACACGCTTCATATAGCAGGTACAATTAGAGCCGAATGTAGCAGCAGAACTTGTCCATTGACGTTGAATGGTGTCTCGATTAGTACAAGACGAATGTCGTAAACCCTATTTGGTCTTCATTTGGTTGACAACGGTTGGGCTTCCAACAGCCATGATCCCTTTACATTGCTCGCGTGCATTACTACAGGACATGATATACAAGAAATGTGCTAATGATGATGCTATTCAAGTGCTACTCCTTTGGTCAAAACGTCATCGTCATCATCACTGCTTTTCGCTTCACCAGCACTTTGGTTCAAGCATCCTGGTAGATCCAAGTATTCTGAGCTCATGATCATCAAGGTAAAAGTGAGATTTGCATTCCATCGCTGTTGGTCTGATTGTACATCAATAGACGTTGCTGCAGAAAAAGGTGTTGTTGTTATCATGATTGGCCGCTCTTTCTTTGAGAGGACGATCCCTGTTCCACGTCATCATCTCGAAGGTTGTCTTGGGTATGTATAGTTTGGATTCGAGTATTACTTTGCTATTGCACAAACAGCAGCTAAGATCATTTCAAGCTTCACCACAAGGACGTCTTGAATGTCGAAGAAGTGCGTTGTGGAATTGTGTATGCATGGCCTGTTACGTAAGTGGATAAAGGATAATATGGCAATCATTGTTTGAATCTGATGGTTATTCGTGTAAACATGTTAGGATTGAACGGTGCATACACCAGCCACCAAGGGCACATCGTGTCATCAAGCGTCAGAGACCCATCATTAAGTACGTGTTTTGGTATCAAGGATCAGGCTCCATTGGTATTGCTTTACCATGATGTTGCTTTACCATGATGTTACAAGGGGAAAGGCTGACTCTTGGAAACGTGTCGCCTGGCATCCGTCAACATACGAGCAAGCCAACAGCAAATTTACTTCCAAATGACGAGGAGACAAGAGGATGATTTGGGCCCCGCGTTCATGCAGCAAAGTATTACAGCAGTATCGAGCAAATGGAAGATTAAGACGTTTTTATTGGTTGGTTGGAATTCAATCATGTCAACATCCTCAACAACGTAGCCTCAGATACGCATTAGCATAACACTGGAGAGCTTCTTTCAAGATGGGGAACAGCACAATAGTCATCAGATGAATGCATTGTTTGTGAAGAAAATTGGTGTGCAAGCCGCCTATGTCAGTAGCCGATTCATGCATGGACACCGTTCACACTACCTTGGCTCTTTGACGAGGATTCATTCTGGATGAAAACGACTAGCCACTTTATTGCCACATGCACCAATTTATCAATCCAACAACATTTATCATTCTTTGTGAGCACTGAAATACCCACGCCTACCCACTGTACACTTACAAGCAACGATGTTGTCGGCCCACACATCATTTGTCTTTCTTCTATCATATCATACTTTGATTGCTTTGCTTTACACCACCAAGAGCCCTTTGGTAAGTATCATTGATAAACACTTTGCAATCCTGTGGATTTGTACTGATGCATGTGGTCATTCATAGACTTTCATTGTTATCCTCTTTTTTCTTTCATTGTCGTTGTTGACATTGTGATGCTGGACACCTTGAATGAGGTAAGACGTTGCGAGCATCTCGATTGATGAATCACATACCAACAGGCGTCTCGTATTCCTTTCCATGTAGCTATCTCCCATGATGCATCTGCAAAAGCTGGCACTGACAACAACATGGCCTGCCTCCATAGGCTGAAATTGATGTGGAGCACGTGAATATGGATTTGAAGTTCGGACGTTTGAACCGGTTAAAGAACGACATGTACCGTAGCCGAAACGGTGTTGCAATACCTCGTGTATATGCGCCCTTTATAAAAGGCGATGACGGGTCTTTTGTCCGAGGATGATGATGACAGAGCTTCTTAAGGGATTGGAAATGCTCAATACCGACCTCTTTGTGGATCCATCTATACTGGCTGCAAGAATAGCACGGATTAGCATGATCACCCATCTTATAGCATGTTAAATAGCACCATCATTGAAAAGCAGGATTAAGAGAAAAGAGCATGTTTATACTAAATAACAACCTTCTGGGATTTGACTGGGAATGGAATGAGGTGCTACACATGGAGTTGGGTCAAAATCAAAAGATGAATACATAGGATGCGTAACTTGCTCATTCTTGTGGAGGAGGAGGAGGAGTAGGATAGCATAATAAAATAGCGAGTGTGCCATTGTTGTTGACAGGTTGCACAAAGGATGATGATTGCAGCTGCCGTGGAATACAGTAGCGTGTAAGGCACGATAATTGGATGCACTAATCGTTTAGGATGAAAGCATCAAGCATCAAACTCAAGTTGACAATGGATCCATAAGAACAAAGACTCTTTTTACACGCATTGTATATATCCATATCCCTCTATCCCATATACCAAACCAATATCCATATCCATCATAGGAATTCGATTGTATTGATGCAAGTTGCTACACTTAGCTACTTCTATAATGGCTATCTGCTGGTCATGTGAAGTAAGGCTGTAAGCTGGGCTGTTGCAAGCAACTTGAGACACTAGAGTAAAGACCTTCCTAATAGCAACTTCTTTGGTCGTGGCAGAGGAGTGTGCAAGAGCGTGTGTTGTAGTAGAGTGACAAGGTTGTGGATGCTGTTCGAGACAATGGAGTAAAGAGTAGCTGCTGGAATGAATGCTGTTACGTTTGGTTGTGGTCGACGAATGTACAAGAGAAGGTGAAGTATCAAGAGGAGGCCCGTGTGTTGTAGTGAGTTGCGCACGCCATGAACGTGCTATTCAGTCAAAGGCAATCGGATCAAGGCAGTTGTAGGATTGACATGATGGGTTGAGGCAGGACAATCGTTCGCAGGCTGTAGTTGATAGTTGAATGGGCCAACGATGGAGAATGGGAGGAAGAGACAAATAAGCTGGGAGTGGAAGAACAACGAAAAGAGCGGTAATGCACGATCCAAGTTGCGTATACGTATCCATGGTGATCATAAATATGCGAGCATCATTGTCTCACCAAAATATATAGTTTCATCTCTCTGATTTACCTATTGGAACATACAAGCAATAAAAAGACAATCTGATATCCAAATCATAGGAACCAGCTTCTAAAAGTCAATGACATTGAAAGGAACTCGGCCACGGACGAGTTGTTTGGGCTCTTTTCATGCTCGCTCATAAAGTCATAACCATTGAGCCCTGAATACATCGTGTGCAGTGTCATGTTTTCTTAAGAGACCTTTCTTAGAAAAGCTGTAGAGGTGTAACTGCAAAGTTGAGCGAATAAAGGGTGAAGCGAAAAAGAGCACCAAATTTCATGCTGGAGACCTACTTTTTTTTCACTGCGTGTGTGTTACACGGCTTAGTATTCGATGCACATGATCCACATACCAGGATCTCTTCAATCATGCAATAGTAATAAGCACGATTCTTCAAAAGTCCAAGAGACAAGTGGATGTTTATTCGCTATCACTATCATTATCACTATAAACGTAATCATACATGCGTAGTTCGCCGTACACATCAGACATATTTTCAGCTTCCCGTAAATCTATCCGGTATGCCCGATCATGGGCCGCAGAGATTTTGTATTTACGGCCGTCGTGTTCGAATTTGTCATTTTTCATATCCTCGACATACTTCTCAAGCTCAGACAGGAATCTTTGCCAAACTGCATTTGGATCGTTCATCCTTGGAATTTTAAGCTGGAACATGCCAAGCACACCGTAGACGTAATCAACAGGATCCACGCAGCGCCTATCCGATAAAGCCAATGACCTAATTAAGAAGAGAAATCTTGATGGGCTCTTCTTCTCGGTACGATGTTTGTTAAAAGTTCTAGCTTGGTACATCTCGAACATAAAAGCGATAATCTTCTCCGCAAGCTTAGTCACTAATTGATTCATCAGTTGTGCTTATGTATTACATCCAAGCATAGCGTATGATCTACTCATACCGTTATCAAGATAAAATAGAATATCGAATGCGTTCTTGAAGCTGTTAATTAAATCATCCATCGTAGACGTGTTGGTTTGAAAGTGATGAGCGTCGTTTTCTGCTATAAGACGCACAGGACCATAAGGGAGAGCCATCTCTTGCCATGTCCAAACGCGCTTCCACCATTCAATTTGCTGCAACTGATCCAACTGTGCATGCAGCTGAGGATATTTTGCGTACAAACGTTTGCCGTTCATGATAACTTTTGGACTTGGATTGTTTTCGATATCAACGAGCTCCTCCCTCATATTCTTCTGGGTATGAAAATGTGATAACAGACCAGGCACACAATCAATCATGGCGATGCACTCAAGACAACATGCATAGATATCCCCCATAATATCCAAGGGCGTATCAAAACGTGCACATAAGACGTCGATCCACCAATAACTATCGGGATGTGCCTCGAGTAGCGCAAGTAATGTGGTGCGTTTTTCAGCTCGCATCGAAACAGGAGCTGTAGGTTGGCCATCTTCGTCATCCACGTAGTCGCCAATTTCCTCCCATGATTGTGGGTTGTCTTTTGAGATGCCCCAAAGATGTGACAACGCATAGTAAAAGGATGGGATGGATTTTGCTTCGTTGATCCTCTTGATCATCCTTTGTCGATGGTATGGGTCACTAGCAGGTCGTACGATTCGCATTTTGGCTCCATCCTTAGGCACGTATAGAAGCAAAAAGTACTTATCGGCTAAGAGCGCACCCAACCCTTTTTCGAAAAAGCCTTTACGATAACCATCGTCATCATCCTCTAGACAACGTATATCGAGCTAGAGAGGGAACGTGTGAGTATGGTAATTTAGAATCAATAGGGTCAATGTTTGAATACTTTGATGGGGCTGTTGTCTCCATCAGTGTCGTATGTCATGTCGAAAAAAGGGGAAGAGAGAGTGGATGTTGAAAAGAAGGCGTGAGATCCTCTTTATGAACTCTGTTTTGTATTTACATGCAAGACGTCGGCGTAACCCACTGTGTAAGAATAAAAAGGCATTGCCATACATGATCAAAGGCCGAGCTATCTCATTTTCATATATCGCCAATAGTGCATTTTGTATCCTGGCAACTATCCGACTGATTAATGAAGAAGATTCTTTCATTTCATGAAAAGGAGAGTCTTGGGTGCTTTGGAAAATGATGAATGTGCTCCCATGGCAACCCTCGGAATCTGATTCCGGGACCCGAGTTTATTATGTGGCGTAACATTGAGGTGATACAAAAAACCATGGCTACATACTCAGAGATTTAAAATGATCGCTCAAGAGTAGGTGGGTGATAGTCGCTCTTCCTTTTCGTTTTTATGCCGCTACACGCTTGATGCGGCAGGTACATTCCGAGCCCAATGTAGCAGCAGAACTTGTCCATTGACGTTGAATGGTGTCCCGATTAGTACAAGGCGCATGTCGTAAACTCTATTCGGCCATGGTTTGGTTGACAACGGTTGGGCTTCCAACAGCCCTGATCCCTTTACATTGCGCGCGTACATTACTACAGGGCATGATATACAAGAGAGACAAGCATAAGGAGAACAATGAGAACATGCTTATTGTGTGCTAATCATGGTGCTATCATTGAATAGTCTTCAATATCATTGAATAGTCTTCAAGTGCTACTACTTTGGTCAAAACGTCATCACCATCATCATTGCTTTTCGCTTCACCAGTAATTTGGTTCAAGCATCCTGGTAGATCCAAGTATTCTGAGCTCATGATAATCAAGGTAAAAGTGAGATTTGCATACCATCGTTGTTGGTCTGATTGTGCATCAATAGACGTTGCTGCAGCAAAAGGTGTTGTTGTTATCATGATTGGCTGCCCTTTCTCTGGGAGGATGACCCCGTTCCATGTCATCTCAAAGGTTATCTTGGGTATGTATGAGCTGGATTTGGGTGATCACATCGTCCTTAACAAATGCTTTGCTCTTATTGTGTCATCAGCTGCAAAATTATCCAAGGTTGCCACAGTGATAGCTCGAGTGCTGAAGGATCGAAATGATGCATTGGAGGATCTATGGACTTGCGATGAAGGTATCTATTTGGTATGTTTCTTTGTTTGCATTAGATGCTTATCCATGTAATCATATAGGGTTGAACGCCATCTCTGATTCATCGATCTGTGCACTACAATGCATCAACGCGCTGTCAAAGAAGAATTTGCCATCAGCTTTGAGGACCCATTATTGGAACTAAGGAACCGGTTGCATTGGTATAGTATTGCTTTATCAATCGTTGTCGTCTCAAGGAGGAAATGCTGCTAAAACATGGAGGTATTTAGTAGGCGAGAGAGACGTATCGCCGGCCAAAGGCAAAAAGTAAGCATCTCGGAAAGGGAAATGAGAGGATGTTGGCTCACGGTAAGACGACATAGTGATGACTGGAAAGGTGGTTTCAAGCGAGCAAGAGCATCTTTTCTACATCCGTGGAAGGCAACTGGTTCAAGCTGACAGGGTCAATTCGGGAGGTGTATTGAGGCGTTGGGTTTATATACGACAACAAGGCTCCATTGGCGGAGGAGGAAGCATTGTCACAGCTGCAAGGAGCCAAGCAAGTGATGAAGATTCAAGACGTTACATAACCACATGCGCAAAGAGCAAGAATTCCACGTGATCCCATCCAAGTGAATGGTGCGGGAGGAGGCATGTCTAATAATGATCAGTGGGCTCATCATTACCATTGTCTCTGACTCGTATTCTCACCAAGATACTGAAAATGATTACCATTCATGGCTTATGCGCTGTTTTAATGGGACATGTTTTCGCTGCAAGTTGATCGAGACATTATATGCAAGATCACGGCCATCGTATAACAAGAGCGTCTAAAGCATCGGGATCCTACGCAGCACGAGTCGTCGTCTTTTTTGCCCGCTCATGGAAAATGCAACACCCTTCTTTGACTATCACTTCACGTCGAAGCTCGCTTACGGAGCAGCTGCCCTTCGAATGCTACAACATGGTTGGACTTGAGATCCGTTATCAAGTTCGGTTGTTGTTCATTGCAAGAAACAAGCCCAAGGGTGGTCAAGGTTACGGAAAAGCTATTCAAGCTTCATGGTGGATGATTCCAAATAGCTTTCTTTCAATGTAAAAAGTTGCATATGATAATGTTGTCAGAGAGAATAAACCATTTCCCATGCTCACTCAGCAACAACACGTTCCGCTTAAATTATTCAAGCACCATTTGTAAAGCAAAAATCATTTGTCCCTCGTATATATAAACCCAGGTGTATACCCCGCTCCTCTCTCTTTCTCATTTGTAAATCCTCTCTCTTTATATACTACTCTTTGAAAGAAACAATGGCAAACAACGGCGGTCGCAAAGTTTATGTTGTTGGCGTGGGCATGTCCAAGTTTATTAAGCCCCGTGGGTTGATTGATTATCCAGGTACTACATTTATCTACCACATACTCTATATGCCACACACACGTTTTATTCATGCAACTCCACTATGATAGAATTTGCTCTTGAGGCGGCTGTCAAGGCGTTGAATGATGCCGATATTTCGTTTGACAAGGTGGATTTTGCAGCTTGTGGCTATGTCTTTGGTGATAGTTGTGCGGGTCAACGTGTGTTGTATCAATTGGGCATGACACAAATCCCCATCATCAATGTCAACAACAATTGTGCTACGGGATCGACTGCGTTGTATCAAGCACGTGCTGCTGTGGCATCAGGAACCGCTGAATGTGCCTTGGCGTTAGGCTTTGAACGTATGAAGCGAGGATTTATCACGGAAGCGTTTCCCGATCGTGCCAATCCCTTAGCGCCCGTGGAAGGTGTGATGGATCAAGTGCAAGGATGGGATAAGAATACAGGCAACGCACCTCAAATCTTTGGCAGTGCAGGTCAAGGCTACATGACCAAGTATGGAAAAGCGACTGAACATCACCTTGCTCAAATTGCTGAAAAAAACCATCGTCACTCGGCCAAGAACCCCTACTCCCAATTCAGAGACGTGTACACAGTTGAGCAAATTGAAAAGAGTCCTCGTATCTTTGGTCCCCTCACCAAGTTGCAGTGCTGCCCCACCAGTGATGGCGCTGCTTGTGGCATTCTTGCAAGTGAAACCTTTGTCAAGGCCCATGGTCTCGAGGATCAAGCTGTCGAAATTTGCGCTCAAGCCATGGCCACCGATTCCCCATTAGGCCTGGGTAAGGACGCAACTGAATGGGCAGGTGCTGACATGACACGTGCTGCTGCTCGCGGTGCGTTCAAGCAAGCTGGTATCACTGCCAATGATGTCCAAGTGATCGAATTGCATGATTGTTTCTCAGCCAATGAGGTACATAAGAAAAAAGGCATCATTTGGTCATATGACATAGGCTAATTCCTTTTCTTTTCTTAGTTGTTGACTTATGATGCTCTTGGATTGGTGCCCGAAGGTGAAGCACATACTTTGATTGATTCAGGCAACAATACCTATGGTGGTAAATACGTGATCAACCCGTCAGGCGGTCTTATTTCAAAGGGCCATCCATTGGGTGCCACTGGACTTGCTCAATGCACAGGTATGTGTTGTGTGAAGCCTTTATTTTCATGCAAACGTATAATAACATCTTGATAGAACTTGTATGGCAATTACGTGGTTGGACGGGTGAGCGTCAAGTACCAAATGTCAACTATGCTTTGCAACACAATGTGGGTCTCGGTGGTGCTGTCGTTGTCACTATTTACAAAAAGGCCAATGGTGCCAAATCATCTCCCAAGACAAAGTACAACCCTGCCATTGAAGCACGTCCCATTACCAAGGATGAATTCACCAAGGCTGCAAGTCAAAAAGCTAAACGTGCTGATTATATGGATTCGCTTAGTGTTGCCAAGTTGTAAATCACATCTCCCTCCCCCATCCATCCATCCATCACATAATAAAGCTCTTTTTTTGTCCAATATGCATCTCTGTGTGTGTGTGTGTGTTATTTACCGTAAAGAAGAAAAAAAAAGGGGAAGGGGAAAGGTGGGGGAATTGTGTGTATTTAATGTCGTCGCAACAAGGGTTCTTGGTTCCGGACAGCTTGTTCTTGCAATTGAGTCACTTCTTGCAACTTGTTGTGTAAAGTGACGGAAGCCGAATCGATCCATTGAAGGGAGGACAAGTGCGAGTTGAGAATCTTGACGATTTGACCCACCGTATCATCACCATCACCGCCTTCCACACCTTGAGGACCATTCATGTTGTTGATTTCATCCACCATCACTGTCAAGTTGCGTGACACGTCATCCAATTGTGCATTCAGAGTCTCTGCAAGACCATAGGCTTTTTCACGTTGCACATCCACCAATTGCAAAGGTTGCTGTACTGCACTGCCATCAAAGACATCACGGATTTGCTTTTCATAGCCATCGAGGATTTGGTTGAGCTCTTCTTGTTGTGCATTAATGTACTCGAGATTTTGATCCACTTCTTTTTGCAAAAGTTCCACTTGGGTCACCTCCTCATGCAACTTGGAGATCTATACAAAGTTGTGTGTAAGTGGTGTATATAGACACACACACACAAACTCTCTCAAATGTTGTTCCTTTACCTTTTGTCCATTATCCATCAATTGCTTATCCCATTCAGACACTTGAGCAGCTTGCTTATGGAATTCACGAGTGTGTTTTTCAAGATCCTTGGTCCACATGTTGAGAATATCTTCCATGGTCTTATTCTTCAAGGAGGAAGGCGTAGGTACAGTAGCAGGCTTTGTGGTAGTAGCAGCAGAAGTAGTAGTAGATGATCCGCCAGCCACTGCAGTGCTGCTTCCAGACATGGTAGGTTGTGTAGTCAATGTAGGTGCTGCTGTAGTGGATGTGGTGGTACTTAAACCAGGTGCACCGGTAGCAGTCGATGATGCTGCGGCACCTGATGATGCTGGGGTTGATGTGTTGCCAAAGCCGGTAAAACTGAAGCTGGGAGCTGATGTAGTAGTTGCGGCAGCAGAAGTAGTGGCTGTAGAAGGAGTTGATGTTGTGTTGCTAGCAGAAGGCATAGTGAAACCGAAACCACCTGTTGCAGGCTTGGCTGCTGTTGTAGAAGAAGCAGCAGCACCAGCAGCAGGAGCACCAAAACCGCCAAAACCACCTGTAGTAGATGTAGATGGTGTTGTTGAAGTAGTCGAGAATAATGGGGCGGCACCCGTACTGGAAGGAGCTGCTGTAGATGTAGCTATAGATAAAACAATGAATACCATGTTTATCGTTAACCCCCATTTATATAAACACACTTACATGTACCAAATCCACCAAAGGAAGGAGTCGATGATGCTGCAGTCGAAGTAGCAGGAGCAGCAGTGCTTGTCGATGATCCAAATGAAAACCCACCACCACCAGTAGCAGGAGCCGTAGTAGATGCACCACCACCAAGAGAAAATCCAGTACTAGCAGGAGTCGTTGTAGTAGCTGCACCACCACCAAACAAAGACCCACCGGCAGCGGGTGCTGCTGTAGAAGCTGCTGGGGTTTGCGATGTACCAAATCCACCAAATCCACCTGTTGTGTTGCCACCACCTTCAAAAAAAGACTTGTATTAGAATCACACATACATAGATATATAGCAAGACAACATACCGAATCCACCGAATCCACCAGCTGCTGGTTTGTTAGCTCCTGCGGCTGGTGCTGGAGAACCAAATCCACCCGTTGTTGTTGTTCCTTGTGCACTGCCAAATAAACCACCCGTTGCAGGAGCAGCTGTCGATGACGCGCCTTGTGATGCTGCACCAAAACCGCCAAAGCCTCCACTGCTACCACCTGCAGCTGTATCTATTGCATTCGTTAGTCGTCGTTTATCATTCATTGTTGCCTACTCACTGGATGAGCCAAAGCCGCCGAATCCTGTGTTCTGGTTGCCTGAACTGCCACCGAAATTAAAAGCTATAAAGCCATGGGCGGCCGATCGGTCAATAAGAAGATAGATTCAAGTATCCAAAAGAATAAAGAATAGAATGGAGAGTGACTATTTACCCATGACGAAAGAGGATCCAAAGATTAACGACGGATTCTGTTGAGTGAGTGGGAGTGTGTTGATATGAAAAAGAGGAAGGGCTGCGGTGCGGTGAAAGAAAGAACGCGCGAGGAAAGAAGCCAAGCACACACACACAGCACTTGAGTCGCATTTTTGTGACGCCCTTGTAACGCGACCCTTTTATCATTCTCTCTCTCTCTCTCTTTTCCCGCTATACACTCTACTACCACTACTACCTCTCCCATTGACCTCCTCCATCACTTCACTACACAACACACAATGCAAAGCACAATGGAATCAAGGAAACGTAAAGCCACTGATACACCTACGACAACAACGACAACGAGACGTGTAATAAAACGACCTGCAACAACAAGTAGAACACCCACTGTAGCCACCACTCGTGCTACAGCTGTTCGTGCAGCTGCTATTCGATCACAAAACAATATCACAACAACGACGACGACTAAAAGGAAACGACCTGCTACAACAACAACGACCCATCCACAAAGAGCTACCGCAAATGGTGACACAAAGAGCAAAAACAATAATGCGGCAGGTCAACAACCCAAACCACGACCGCATTGGGATATTCGAGGGCGTATACGTGATATGGAAGAACGACTACAACAAGATCAGGAAAAGAGTATGTTGTATAATGGGTGCATGTGGATTTTGTATACTCATTGAGTGTATGAATGAATGAATCACGTAGTTGCTGAATTGGAAAAGTATCGGGATGGATTGATGTCCACTGTGGAGGATAAGGAATCCGAGATCCAAGAGTATACTCGACGGCTTGGAGAGGCTGATGCAGAGCTCAAGGTAGTAGGAAGGGATTTCCACTCGTCAAGGGTGATGATGATCACTGATCTATGTATGTGTTAGACATTAGAAAAGAAGCACAAGCAAGAGATTGAAGATACCCAGGCACGATGCAATGCGAGAATTCAGGAACTTGAGGATAAGCAACAACATCGACGACGACAAATAGCCAATGCTGAAATGGATCTTGAGGATGTGAAGCGCAAAATGGATGATGCACAAAGGAATGCAAACAAGGCATTAGAAGAACATCAAGCACTCAAGGTAAAAGATATCTTTCATGTTGGATAATGGGTGGTGGATGACTGATAGCCCATATGATAGAAAACGATTGATGAAGCCACGGATACATACAAGCATGTTGAAGGACAGCTAATCAATCTCAAACTTAAAGTCACCGTAAGTTACACGACTCTCCCTTGATGACATGAACACCAACATGCAACTTTTTTTATAGAAAGCGGATTCCTTAGTTTTGGAACGTAATCAAAGGATTGAAAGGTTGACAAAGGAGCTTGAACAAGAGACCAAGAAAGCGGATGAGCTTGAGTCCAAGTATCAGGATGAGCAGAGGTTATTACAACAATTATCGGATACGATTGCACACTATGAATCCAGCGCTGAACAAGAGCGGTCCAAGAAGAAAACGTCCTCGTAATGGCATGTTGTTGTCGCTTTTGTGTTACCCCCTCCCTTTGTGAATAAAAACTCGGCATCAGCCCCAAGAATGCTCTCTTTGTCTTTTTCTTTTTCTTTCTTTCTTTTTGTTTTGGCGCGCGCTTGTTCCTCCACAGACTTCCTGTATCTCAACTTGAACTGAACGACTCCAGGCTTATGGTGATGATGGCATCTTCCCTATTTGCCCTCGAGGATCATTGATTTGATTGTTCCCGAAATTCCTTGGCGGTTGTCCTTTACAAGATGGTCGTCGAGGAGCAGTCTGTGGCACTGGTTCTATTACTACTCTCTCAACAGGATCCTGAAAATTATAATCTCGCACTTATCGTGGTTCCCCCCAAATGGACCTCGATGTTATTGGTGCGAGAGACCCTGTACATCAAGCACTCGGTCTCTCGGAACAAGTCCCTGCAACTAGACAAGAAATGGATGGAGTTAGGCCCCCCTTAAACCAACACAATAAAAACATTTGCTTGTGTGTGTGTTTGTTCAACCATCAAAAATGACATGGGCTTTGTATTTGTGAACTGCGGATGTGGTCCAAAAAAGTTACACCAGCCAAAACCTTCTTTCTGTAACTCCACGCATGCATGTGTGCTATTCTTGTTCCTTTATTTCTTGTACTCTCTCTCTCTCTCTCTCTTTCTCTATTTTTTCTCATGTCAAAACACCATGAAGGCATACGACAGCTTTGTCAAAACCAAGATTTTCGTCTATTGCATGTGACTCGGCACAAGAACAAGTACAAGATGAGACTGGTTCGGCCTTGTATCCACAAAGGGCATCAACAACGGGTGCTTGAAGAGGGCTATTATGCATTATCACATTTATGGGGAAATGCCAAGGACTATCCTTATTGGCAAGTGGATGACTTTATCAGTGACAAGGAAGGAGGTGGACGGCGCAAGGTGGATCCCGTTCCCATGCGACCTGAAAAACGAGACACATTGATCGCCTTGCTTAAAAAACATGTCAACAGCTATTGGTGGATTGATGTCTTGTGTGCACGTGTGGACACGCCACTCATGATCATGGGGAGCATTTATCGGTACTGCAAATCCTGTGTGGCATTGATTGATATGGCAGATCCATTTTCGATGCATCGTTTGGAAGCATTATCAGGTGCCTTGTCCAAGGCGAGTGGTGGTTATTACTATGCCAATCGACTCTTGCATCGGCGACCCAACATTACGAGTAAGCAAGTGGAGCGTCTTGTGTTTTCAAACATTTTGAGTCTTCATGGCATTGAACGCAACTTTGGCAAGGAACTCAACGTGGTGTTACAAGTGATCCAAAGTCAATGGTTCACAAGAGTGTGGACTGCACAAGAATTTTTATTGCCCAAGCAAATTATCATCATGCCCGAACAACGTGCATCCGCTCCTACTCGCTATCGTATGGATTTTGCCCTTTTGGAAAAGATCACCGAACGCTTGGATACCATCTGTAAGTTGTGAGGAGGTACACACGTGATACGTGACATTGACACAGACCAGAAGATAGGGTCGTTGATAGGATTCCTCTATTGGCAAAAAGTACCCAGCACCTGGCATTGACTCGACATGTAGGATCCATGCATGTGCTTTGTGGTCGAAGTCATCAACATGAAGGCGTACTCGATATCTACAATAACCATCGCTCACGTGTTTTACCACGACTACGCAATGTTTTTGAAGCATTGGCATCCTCCTCAAGAGTATGTGCTGTGTCTGTTGATTATGTCTATGGCGTCATTGGGATGCTTGAATTGGATGTTCCTAGATTGGATCATCCCCAAGATGTTTGGAAAGCGTTTTTGAGCGAGTTGAGAAGACTGCTAGCCCACTTGACAGAGCAAGACCAAGGATGTATGTGGGCCAAGGTCGTCAAGGATGAAACGTTTGATTTGGCCAATGCCGAAAATCTTGGTCATGTTTATACGGGTCTTGTTAAATTCTCAAGGCGGTAAGTAAAACAACGTGGCTACATTGCAGGCGCTCATATGGTATGTATGATAGGCGTAATAGAAAATCCAAGCGAGGATCTCAGCCGGTGTCGAAGGATAGTAATGTATCATAATAAATGATGGTATCGCCTTGATTGATGAAAGCATGTTGTAATGGAACTGCTCGCTTGAATTACTACTATGATGATAGCCCTTTGGGGGGTACTCGATATATGATGATGGTTGTAGCACCTTCTGCAATGACCAGATGTGACAGATAAAAGCGTTAATGGGACACCTGTCAACAGGGAGGATTTAAACATTGCTCCATTTCCTCACCCGTGTTACCCAAAACGGCAGCGTTGGTCACCATGGCAACGACAAAAAAAGAGTGGCGACAAAAGTGTATTATATCTCACGTGACAAGTAGCCATAACAACGCATGAATGGATGACATTGCTGATGGACCGGCATTGTGGATGAAACTATATGAGAGCTCGGCCTGTATGAGCGATACAGAAATTGACAACATGCTCCATAACTGATCGGCTCACATCATGAGAGTAAAACAAGTCCGGCAAATGCCATGTATCACGGCTGGCTACTTGTAAGTAGTACATTTCTCTACTGCCATTGAAGGGACAAATCAAGCGTATGTACCCAGAGACACTTTTCTTCGTACGTATTCAATGCAGCTCTCATTTGATGGTAACCATCCCTCCATCACGTGGCTCACTAAAATAAGCAATCATTTATCATTTATCCATCGTTGTGCCTCATTCCTCTATGTTTCTCCTACGTGTGGTGAAAAGCTCTGCTGCTATCCAACCATGCATGCGTAAAGACATATACCCCCAACGCATGCATACTATTATTGCCTTTTGGCTGCTGCATCTCTAAATTACAAACGTTCTTTTTACTTCAGCTGTATATTTGCTGTACCATCTCTTTGAATTGCCAAATGTTATTAGAAGTACTCCTGTTTATTGAGGATTGAGGTAGTAACAGGATGTAAAAAAGACAAGAGTCCAATCAAACATGGGTGGAATACAATGATGAAGGTTGATTTTAATCTGGGCGGGGCCAGGTATATGCGCAAACTTCATTATCAAACGCTGAAGCAAGGTCAATAAGCATTAGTATCATGAATGAGTAGTAGACGTGCACGCTATGTGCTTACTATCGGAGGCTACCGCACAATTGGGCTGAGCTCCACAGGAGTCAAGGTCCATGTCCTGACATCGCTTCACCCCTTCCCCATAATCCTCGGCAAAAGCTGTACTGGCCAAAACAACGACCAACAAAAGGGCGGTAGCAAGAGTGTATTTCATGTTGAGAATGAGCGATGAAGAAGAAAAGTACTCAGGTCAATGGGGAAGATGGCGTTTTATACTTTCCTTGGCGGAGTAGGATGGAATCATGCGAAATTTTATGCTAAGTTGCGGGGGGGGGGTTGTCAGCTGAACTTTTTCTTGGCGTGTACTTTTGACTCGTTACTGTATTGAAATCAGTTTTCGAGAAGTTATATGATAGCTGGGACGACATACAGCGGATGACGACACATTCATCACTGCCCATATCATGAGAATAAAAGTCGAGCGGATGTTATTTCAAGCTTACTTATTATCATCTAGCAACACGACGAATTATCGACAACGTACGTACTCGCTCTTTCACCATAACCATGATGGCACCCTAAGGTACGCAGCAATCATCTACCAATATATGCATTACTATGCCTTATTCTGCAAAGGTTCCTATGTGTGACGTAAAAGCCGATGCCACTCATGCAGGCGTAAAGATGTATACCCTCATCCTCTATGCGAGCATTCATCACAACCAGTCATTCACCCGAATTACAATTATAGCTTTTTTAGCTGCGTCTCCAAATGACAAGCGCTCTATTTATTTCACCTATATACCGTATCACGAATGAGTAGGAGGTATGTACGTGCTACCCACCAGGGAGGATTGGATATTGTTCCCTTTAAAAGAAGCAACGTTGGTCCCCATGGCAACGACAAAAAAGGGAGTGGCAACAAACGTGAATTTCATCTCCTAATGTGACATGTACTCATAGCAACGCACGAATGGATGATATGGATGGACCGGGAAGGTGCATGAAATAGCGTGTTCATTTCATGTTCCTATGCGTGTGGTGGAAAAACCACTAGCTTTTCATGCATGGCTAAAGGTACTACAATGGCTCATTTGCAGTCGTCGAGTGCTGTACGACACACAACAATCATCATTCACCCATTCAACCAAATGTGAGGCTCTTTATGCAATAAAGGTTTTCGACACACATAAAAGCATGTTGTAGTAGCTCGCTCTCTTTGCATTTTAGCCCATGTTTTACCATCATTGGCTATTGCCAAATACAAGATCATATCTTTTATTGAGGATTCTGTTACAGCAGATCGGGGACGACATGATGAGGGGGTTCACTATCACTGGTATGCGCCGTCTGCTTCAAAGAAGCAACGTTTCCCGCCATCGTCTAAGGCAATATACCAATCATCGTTAGGATCAATAATGGGCCTACGTGCATGTTACATGCTTACAGACTTCACCGACAAAGCAATTGGGATCTCGCTCGCACTGATCAACAGGGGTATTTTCGCATTGTTCTCTCGCTTCCATATCGCCAAAAGCATGGCTGACCTTGCTGGCAATAGCAACGTCAAACAAAAAGGTGGTGATAAGAGTGGGTTTTATCTTGAAAATGGATAAAGAAGCATTTACGCCAATGAAAGATGCCATTTTATAGACTTCTTAATGGGCAGGTCTCACTCAAGTACAGGATGTTATGCAAGGAGTTGCCCATTTTCTCGCTCTGTGTTCCATTACAGGCATTGAAATCAGCTTTCTAGCGACTTTAGGATAGCTCTGCCAGTGTAGGTGTCATAGGGATTGACAACATGCTCATAACTCATAAACTCACATCATGAGAGTATAAAAGTCATGTAATGCGGCTGGCTTCTTGTAAGTGTATTTCCCTATCATCTACGAGACTTCAATGTAACTCTCCTATGATGGCAATCGCTCCTTCATCCACAATGACTCCCTAAAATAGGCAACCATTTATATCATCATCGTGCCTTATTCGGCAATGGTTCTCCTATGTGTGGCAAAAAAAGCTGCTACACAATCTTGCAGGCGTAAAGAGGTATACCCCTCATCCTCTCTATGCGAGTATTCAGCACATCCAGCCGTTCACTTCACACAAGCATACCCTTTATAGAAAAGATGTCCGATAGATCTATGTATCCTTGAACTACTATTGGAGGAAAGCATGCTGTAAAGGAAGGTATCTCATCCTCTACCTATGGGTGGATCACCCGAATCACTTTTATAGCCACTTGAGTTGCGTATCCACATTACAAATGTTCTATTTACTTCGGCTGTATATATGCTGTACCGTCTCTTTGAATTGCCAAATGTTATTAAAAGCACTCTTATTTATTGAGGATTGAGGTAGTATGATCCAAAAACGACAAGAGCCCAATGAAACATTGGTGGGATACGATGAGGGTCAATTAGCCGTACTTGACATGTGCGCAATATTCCTGGCCTTCGCCTAAAGCAAGACCAATAACCGTTAATATCATGAATGGGTAGTAGACGTGTATGCTTTGTTTTGCTTACCATTATAAGTTAGCTCGCAATCAGGCTCATCCGTACAGAAATCAAGAGGTTGCCTGGCACATCGGTTGATCGCTTCGGCAGGATTCTCGGCAAACGCTTTGCTGCTGGCCAAAGCAACGATAAACAAAAGGGTGGTTACAAGAGTGGGCTTCATTTTGAAAATGGATGATGAAGAAAAAAAGGCACACACGCCAACGAAAGATGATCTTTTATAGAGTCCTTGATGGGTCAGGTATGGCGTTCACCACTTTCTCATGTAAGATTTTATGCAAGGGGTCCCCCCGTTTCTCGCTGTGTGCATTGCTGGTATTGAAGTCTGCATCCTAGTGACTATGTGAGAGCTCTAAAGTGACGACATACATTCGTAGCTCGTATGCTCACATCCAGAGAATAAGAAAAAGTTTGGGGAATCTCATGTAAGGCTGACTTTTAAGTGCATTTCTTTATGATCAAATCGAAAAATGTGATGATACCCGGCGACATTTTTCTTCGTACGCATTCAATCCAAAAGCATCATGAGCAGCTCTCCTAGGATGGCAATCACTCCTCCATCATCATGATTCCCTATGCAATCATCTCCCCATGCATGCATTACGGTGCCTTATTCCTATGTTTGTGTGTATGGCGAAAAACTGCTATACAGTTTTGCAGGCGTAAGGGTATTTATCGCTCATCCTCCTCTACGTGAGCATCCATTACATCCCAAGCAATTCCATCCATGACCCCTTTATAGAAAGGAAGACTGATAGAGCTGATTCTGAACTACCATTGTTTGATGAATAGGGAAGCATGCTGTAATAGTGGGAATGTCTCGTTGATGGATCGCCTAAACTATTATTATCACCTATTGAGCTGCATCTTCAAATTACAAATGTTCTATTTATTTCAGCTCTACATACGCTGTACCATCTCATAGAATTGCCAGATGTAATGAATAGTTGCACTCGTATTTATTGAGGATTCAGGTAAAGGATGCAAAACGACAAGAAACAAATCAAACATTGGTGGGATGCGATGAGCGTCACTTTTAATGCCATTAGCCGGGCAATACATATCCGCAAGCTTCTTGGTTTACTCCTGAAGCAAGACCAACAGCCATTAGTATCATGAATGAGCAGTAGACGTACAAGTTATATGCTTACCATCGAAAACTATACCGCAATTGCGGTGGGTTGTACATTCATCAACAGGGACACTGGCACATCGATTGACTTCTTGGATTTGAGCCTCGGTTAGACCTTCGGCAAAAGCTTTGCTGGCCAAAGCAACGGCGAACAAAAGGGTGGTGACAAGAGTGGGCTTCATTTTGAAAACGGATGATGAAGAAAAAAAAGCACTCATGCCAACGAAAGATGGCGTTTTATGTCTTCCTTGATGGAGCAGGAAGGTACGGCGTTCATCTTCATGCAAGATTTCATGCAAGGAGTTGCCCCTGAAAAGGGTATCTACTTTTGACTCATTCATAGCCCATATCATGAGAATAAAAACCATTTTAAGTTGACTTGGTCATTCTTTCTGTCATCATGAGCACATGTGGGAAACGTGAACCAAGTAGCAAAAGTACTTTTCATGGTACACAACCAATCTAGAAGCATGAGCGGCTCTCCTATGATAATGGCCCTACCATCATCACCATGGCAACCTAAGGTACCATGCAACCATGTACCCATGTATGCAGCCTTTTTCGCTCTATTTTTTAATGTTTCTCCTGTGAGTGGAGAAAAAGCTGCTATACAATCAAGCAGGCGTAAAGATATGCATCGCTCATATTGTTCAACACGCACATACAGACCATTCACCCAAGCAATTGCATCTTCTATGACACCCTTTATAGAAAAGATGTCCGACTTTGAAGAAAGGATGCTGATAAAGAAGAGGATGTCTCACCGTCCTCTATGGATGGATCACCTGAATTACTATGATAGCTTCTTGTGCTGCGTCTTCAAATTACAAACGTTCTATTTAATTCAGCTCTACTATATATGCTGTATCATCTCTCAGAAGCGCCAAATTTTATTAAAAACATTCGTATTTATTGAGGATTGAGGTAGCAAGATGCAAACTACAAGAGCCAAATCCAACATTGGTGGTGTACGATGAGGATCAACTTAATGTCATTAGGCGTAATGGCTGATTCCGCAAAATTTGTGACCATCCCCTGAAGCAAGGGCAACAACCATTAGTGTCATAGTATGTAGATGTACATGTTACGTGCTTACCACCAGTATTTATCCCGCAACCGGGATGATTCAAACAATCATCAACAGGGACTTTGAGACATCGCTCCATTGTTTTGCGAGCTGTCTCGGCAGAAGCTGTGCTGGCCAAAGCAACGACAAACAACAGGGCGGTGACTAGAATGGGCTTCATCTTGAGAATGGTTGATAAAGAAGAAAAAGAAAGATGGCGTTTTGTAATTTTCCTTGATGGAGCATGAAGGTCCGGCGATCATTCTCATGCGAGATTTTTGTGCAAGGAGTACATAGAAGACCCCTCGAACTTGTTTCTTGTAATCATCCACGATAGCTCCCTAAGACACGCACCTTCAACGCTATGCTGTATGTGTGGCAAAACAAACAAAGCTGCAACCTTTACAATCAGGGTGAAGCTAAACGTCATCCAAGGAAACGCCATCGTACTAGTAGTATGCTTTTGCGTATCATGCATATTGCAAATGGCTGCTGTTATGCATATGCTCAACATGTTGCAGAGCTTCAAAGTTACGCACCCTCAAGTTGGCGAGCACCCATCGTTAGAATTATCAAAGAAAGGGCAGGCGCATGCATCATTTACTTGCAGTCAGCCAGCGATAGCACTCTGCTAAGCGTTAACAATACGAGCAAAAGAAAGGAAAGATGATCACGTGATCTCATCGAAAAAAACTAAAAAAAGTGAACCACCAACTTGTAAAGCTGGTAGGTTGCTCACTACAGGGGTCGAACCTGTGACCTTGGCGTTATTAGCACCACGCTCTAACCAACTGAGCTAAGCGAGCTTTGTTCAGGGTTTTCCTTGTTGATTTTTAGCTGCGGAGTGTATATATATACCATACAATTTCCCTATTTGGATGGAAAAAACCTCGTTCAAAGCGGGTTGTTATGGATATCAAACGCCAGCGGAGCATACGCTAGATACGATGGAAGCTTCATCAAAGCATTATGGGAAGCACAGAACACATAATTTGTGCATAGAGTAAATTGATGGAGCAGGTTCAAGCTCAATTATCATTTGGTACTCAGCTGCCAGCTTTGCATAGCTCGCTGTATAAGACATGTGCATTCAATAATCACTTCAGAGATCTTATATGCATTGGTTTGAGACTCTATAATACCATGGATACAACGCTAAGACATTGATAGATATCATAGTGATGAAAGTAGATTGGTGTTCTACTAAAGTATGCTATTTAAAATGTGATGTTGTCATGGTGGTCTCTCGCTGCACCCTGATTCAATTCATGTACGGCTAATTTCCTGTTTCATTGTAGTAGCTTCTTCTTTGTCTCAGTATACAATCCACAATCATTTCAAACATGTATCTTAGTCTTAAAAGGTCGTTGTCCAAATAGTGGTCAAGGTAGCTAAATCATTCTAAGAGATACCAAGATGGTATTTATTGGTGGTCGTGTAGGGATACTAAAGCTATGCCATGTAAAGATATAGGGTAGTCTCCTAAAAGCAACTTCTTGTCGACAAGACACAGGGCAGCAGGTAGAGAATGGAAAATCATGCATCGTGGGAATGGTCTCCGCTCCTCAGGGAAAAAAGAGACACCAACCCCTCTTTCCCATTCTTTTCAAAGTAGCCCATTTCACGCCTCAATGGAGAACGGCCGAGTCATTTGCACCGTAGAAACACATACTGGAGGAGAACCATTTCGCATTGTGACCAGTGGGATTCCTCGCATGCCAGGAAGGACGATTGTGGAGCGACGAGCGTGGTTAAAAGAGAATGCAGACGACCTCCGACGTGCCTTGATGCTCGAACCTCGTGGCCATGCCGACATGTATGGTGGCTATTTGACGGATCCCATCAGCCCAGGTGCCGACTTTGGTATTATCTTTGTGCATAATGAAGGATACAGCGATCATTGTGGCCATGGCACCATTGCACTCGCCACCGTTGCTGTGCAATTAGGATGGATCCAACAACGAACGATACCAGAGACGCGGGTAGGCATTGATGCTCCTTGTGGATTTATCGAAGCTTGGGTGACTTGGGATGGCAAACGCGCTTCAAGTGTACGATTTATCAATGTGCCAAGCTTTATTTGGAAACGAGATGTCACTGTCAATACACCAACCTTTGGCAACGTCACTGGAGATATCGCATTTGGTGGAGCCTTTTATTTTTACACGGATGGAGCACCTCATGGTATCAAGATTCATCCTCGTCAATTGGCCTTGATCGCTCAATTTGGGACTGAAGTGAAGCAAGCCGCTAATGCCGCCATTCAAGTACAACATCCAGACATCCCTGAAATCAATCATATCTATGGCACCATTGTAGCAGGTCCTCCCCTTCGTGGTGATGATGAAACATCTACATCCATATTGCATCAAGCCAATTGTTGTATCTTTGCGGATAGTGAAGTGGATCGATCACCTACAGGCTCGGGTACTGCAGGAAGAGTCGCTCAACTTTATTTACGTGGTCAACTCGCCAAGGATCAGGTGCTTGTCAATGAATCCATTATCGGCTCTGTGTTCAAAGGCAAGGTTTTGAAGGAGACAAAGGTGGGCAATTTCGATGCGGTGATTCCTCAAATAGAAGGATCGGCTCATATTGTGGGCCATGCCCAATGGGTCATTGATGAATCAGATCCCCTTACATATGGTTTTCTTGTAAAATGATAAATGATATCCAATAAAGAAGAATTCACTCAACGAAATGACTTGATGGTGCTGATAATCATGAATGCCAATCGCCTTCTCAAAGTGAATACACGTGACCAGAACACAAGTAGCCAGCAGCCAAGGAAGGAACCAGTTGTCGTATCCTAGCAACATCTTTCAAGGCTAACTCAAAGTTGCCGCAAGTTGCCAACGAGATTGGACCAAGCCCATAAGTGTTGTTATACATGGTTGGATGATCACCAGCCTCACATGTCAATAGGTTGTGTGACCACCAGCACACGATCACCATATCAGCCATAGACAATGAATTACCCAAATTAGGATGATTTTATTATGCTGTTGAGCTATGTTAATAAAGGCATCTTATTACACACATGCTACTATGGGCCACCTTGCAAGAATCAGAAGCGGGATTGTCATATGTGTAGTGCAGCACGAGCCAAGTATGCTATCAACACGCTACACGTTTAGTGGTGAGCCACCTCCAACCATTGTCATTTTTCCATATCCACAATCTTTCCATTGCGTCAACCTCTTCCATTTTGATTGATCATTTTGTAACTTGATATCCATCCACGTAGTCTATTTACGATATAGTTACTCTTCATGTTACGTGATGTCGTCCAACAAGGAATGGTGTTGTATTTGTTGATATACATCCATGCGGTTTGACCTCGTCATACACGTTGAGGTAGGCAGCTCGTACGATTGATACATGTTCACATTGGAAGCGGGTTGGCCATCATGATCGGCGTCGCGTGGTTCTGCCATAGGCCCAGTTCTCGCCAAAAGGTGACATATCATCCTTCACCAATGTACACCATAGTAGTAGATTGTGCCTCTTGATCCCCTCCTTTTGTAAATGCATCCTTGGAGATGATAGCTACATCAAAACAAATGTAAGCATGTGGTTCCTCAAGCAAGATGAGGTTGCGATTTGGTATTACCTGATTAAAGGAGACAATCTCACAATGATAACAATGACAATGAAATGCTAAAGACCATCACAAATATTAGTACGTGGTTGTTCACAAAGAGGACCATCCGTAATACTCACATCAGCTTGGGTTTCCAAAGTATCAGTAATTTGACGGGAGAGGAAATGTGTGAAAACAAAATGATGGGCGACAGCATCCATGTTGTCCAAATGTTGTGCATGGTCGGCGTATGAATTTTGTGCTTGAAAAAGGAAAGCATGATGTGCTGATGGATTGGCGCATAAGCTGATGATAGCTGATCAGGCAATTGGAGTACAATGAAAGTGAATAAGTTGCAAGATAGGGCTGATTATCAATAGTGTCTTTGTTGGAACCAAGAAAAAAGGTTCGTAGCAGTTGGTGAAAGATCCAATCCCATAGTATGATCCTGCCCCTCCTTCGTTAACCACCATATTCTGCATAATGAACATCGCATCCGAGTACTTTTGGCGCTGTTGTCTTGGGTAAGCTTCAGGTCTTTTGAGTGTCATATGCGGTATGCTGATACCCGATGGCTGATGGGTTGTCTCCGAGTTGAATAATGTCATCATCCCCTGCAAATGGTGATAGTCAAATAACCGAATCTTCAATACACAAGGTACTCGTGATCCATTTTGGTGATGATTCATATGTCATAGCAGCTGCTGACTCTTTCCATGTTTCCATCCATCCCATCCTCGCCAATGTGTTGCCCTTTTTTATCGATGTAAGCATAATGAAACCACGGCTGAAGTATGTTACATGATACATACTTGCTCTTGCAAGACCTACAATAGCATCATCAATACCCTGCTTCGATTGACTCTATCCCCATCCACTAATGCTTACCCTTGTGTCCATGCTTCCTGCCATTGAATTACAACCTACACAGCACTATGAGAATCACCTACCAATAATACAATGAGAGATGGGATATACCTTCAAGAGCCAGGGCTTCGACTGTTCAGCTTGCGCCACGCATCGAGAGAGCTTATAACGCTTCTTGCATAGGCACAGAATGAGCTCACTGATAAAGGACACGGCCTTATTGTGGTTGTGGAGTACCTGATGGGTGCCAACGTGGCAATGTCTGGTACATAACGATAGGTATGAGCTTGACAGGATAAACGCGTCGTGAAGAGTGATCGTACCCGGTGGATTGTCAACAGGAATACAAGAGAAGCGTTCGAATTCAAGATGTGATGGCTGTAAAGATTGTCATTGCTGGTGGCTGCAAATAAGCAAGAGTGCGGATCTTGGACGCGTCCATTGTGAACAAGGTGAAGGGACACAGTGGGTTCGTGTTCCAGCGTTCCTATTTTCATTGTCAATCCCCGCTTATGCCGCTTCCATGCTTGGTTGGTGCCACACAAGGTACATCCTGAATGCTGTCTCATTTCGCTTATGTCGACTTGCGTGTGTACAAGATTGGCACAGCTGATAGCTTACATACATGCATCAGGAAGATGACGAATGCTGTTTACTGGGTGCTGATAATGATGTAGTAATCCCATCTGATGCTTATACATGTATCTATTTAGAACTTTGCCTCGTAAGTGAAATAAAAAAGGGATCTATGAAAGCAATCTGGGAAGGAGATGAAAGGAAGAAGGATGATAAGAAAAGACACGTGATCCACCCACCCGTTTTCCAGCTTCTGATATTTTACGGGTTGGGGGAGGGACCTGCTTACGTTATCTGGGCTCAGATCGCCCCCCAAGTAAAATTTCAGAAGCGCTATCGTGTAACCCAGGGGCTCAAGCTTGCATCATTTGGTTGCACAACATCCCCCACCCGTAAAATTTCAGAAGCTGCAAACGGCTGGTAGGGTCACGTGTCTTTTCTCATCCTTCTCCTTTGTAGCATCACCATCCTTCTTCCTTTCATCTCCTTCCTTCAATTCCCAGGTGAGGTTTGGTTGCTGGTATCAAAGGTGATCCTATCACCCTCTCTGCTTACCGAACACGCATACCAATACGAAGAGCAGATTGACAACATGACCTTTGTAATAATGGGGATGTGCGTTGGGCGTATACGTGATTGATTTCCTTTATTGATTCCTCATCATCTGCCCTAAAATGGCCGATGTATGCATAGACAACATTACACGTAGGCTCTTAAACCTTCATCCTGATAAATGAATCCCATTATTTTATCAGCTCATGTATCAATTTATCAATGCATCATCCCCAACAAACGCAAACGCCCACGCCCAGTGTGCACAATAAAAGGATGTTGTCGCCTCGCATCATACACCCACACGTTTCTTTCCTCTGTCACACTTCTTTTTGATTGCTTACAAGGTCAAAGCACTAAGGTTTGTGTGCATCACATCTTGCAAATCTTGTGAATTAGAGCTGATCATTGTGGTCTTTCATAGGGCTTTATTTTTATCCTACTCTCATTGTCGTTGTATTGTGATATTGTATCCTTGTACTGAGGTAAAGTCTGATCATGTTGGTTGATGAGTCACTTGACTCATACACGCAATCTTGCCACTTTTGATATAGCTATCTCCCGTAATGGCTTCTGCAAAAGTTGATTTCGGTGCCATGGTCTATGCCGGTTGCTGAAGCTGATATGATGCAAATAGCAAAGTCCTAAAATGCAGGCTATACAGGTTGGCAGGAGCCCACCTTTTGTTTCCGATGGCGGTCAAGGTTTGTGGTTTAACGGCTTCCGGATATGTGTTGTAACTAAATCAAATCTTGTCATTATGCTATATCCTATGTACACAGCAACCAAGCAAGCACGTCTTCGTCTGGATGACCGCAAATGGTTACTGAATACCAAAAATTGACGACATAAAGCGTTGATGTTTGAAGCATCGTCAGCGTATGAGCGATGCACAGCAGCCAAAGCAACCTTCGATCACTACAAGGCAATGTTCGGGATGCTGGGCGTGCTAAGGAACACGGCAAGTCGTTATTGTCATGCTTCATTTGACACATTTAGAAAATTGAAGATCCACTTTGTACACGCGCATGGTAAGAACAATGCAGGTCTAATCGTAGCTACCAGGCACTTATGATTGAGTTTTTCATTTCTTCGTATCATTCTAGGATCTGAAATCCGGTAATGGACAACGTCCGTTGTAGCAGAAGGGGTGTACCCGACGCATAAGGTTGATAAGGCCGAAATCCCAATGTCACTCCACAATTCGAGCCATGATGCTCTTCACAAATTTGTGCAATTGCACTTGAATTTGGTCGTAAGTGTATATGCACTACATTGGTGATAAGGTAATATTAACTAGAAAGTTTGATAGTGTGGCCGAAACGATTGAAGAGCTCAGAAAAGAAGGAGCACATTACGGCCCATCAGTTTGATACATCAAGCACCCACTTCAGCAACACTTACAGCCCAGCGCATTCAAGCCTCTCATCGTACGCTTAACAAAAAAGAAACATTCCAAGGAGATCGAAGAAGATGATGGCCCCAGGAGTCCTGCGCATATTGTTTACCATTGATGAACCGCGTCCTCTTTGATATCTGTTACAAAGAGATAAGCGATATCCAATAAAGACGAATCTACTCAACAACATGACTCGATAGCTGCTGATAATCATATACTTTAATACTGAAACAAAAAGTGAACGAGGAGTGTGTATATATACAATAGGATAAACAGAGAAAATGATACAGAAGGGGGCGGGGGAATCTTAATAGGATTGAACTGAGGAAACGGATTCTCTTCGCATGGCTCGATCATATCCAACACGGGAATGCATTTCATGTTGCCTTCGTTGAACGAATTGTTGTGCACGCGTACCTCCTCCATTTGTTGATGCATCACACGAATCTTTTTACCAGGCCATACGCTTGATGATGATGATCGCTTGTCAAATACATGGTTCCATAGTTGAATGAGCAGCACCATGTCCCGAGTGAAATGACAAGAATCACCAATCCCATTGGCCATCCAATACTCTCAATGTTGTCA